TACTATCAATAGCTTCCTTGTTTAATAAGCAAACAAAAGTTGTTTGTTGTTAATGGAGCAGCATCCTTCAAAAGCTGTATTTTGAGGAAGGTGGGGTTTTAAAGCCTACTTGTTAATATAATTTTTGGGGAATTTTGAAGGATCTTTTAGAAAGTCACACATTTTCTCATCAAGCTGTCTCATATCAATTTAGTTTGGCTAGGTGCCTGTTTTTCAGGTACTATTTTCTTCTATTCAAGTTACTGGCCTTCCACTGTTTATTCAAACATGAAATGTACTATGAAGGCAGTATGGTGCCTGTGCTGCTGAATTATTGCTATGTAACACCCAAGAGTTGGAAATATATCCTTAAACTAGAACTCGGAGTGACAGATGAATAGTGTTCCTTTTAATCCTCAGGGAATAACAACTGAAACGCAGCATTCACAGAGTGCTATATTGTTTGCATTCCAGTTCAGATTTCTGATGGGAAGGACTTTTCTTCCTGTGTATTTGGTGGAGCTGAGGGAGAGATTCCCCATTACAAAACAAATGACAGCAAGCAATTTTATCTAAAAGGGACTTTTGCCCCAATAAATCATATTTTTAAAAGAGTTTTTTATGTCCTTTCAAAAATGAATAATCCATTAAGTTTTTAGAATCTTTTTTCTTATCTTATCATAATATAGCTTATAATGGACAAAGAACCTTTCATACAGAATACTTTTAAAATACTATGTTAGAACTGTACACTGGAGGATTTCAAACAGAGGTATAAAGAGCAGAAATCCCAATGATATTCAGTAAGACTTTGGTTGCATTTAGATGCCACGTTTCTGGGAATGGAACTGTGCTCTTTGCTCTGTCCCTCTGCTTGCTCAGCGTTACATAATACCTGCAAGCTTAATCAAAGAAGAGCTTGCCATTATCTCCAAACTGGAGAACAATGACGAGAAAACTATAATTTGAGTGATTCTGAAAATATTCTATACATTTGAGAAGCTTCTAATTTTATACAGCCTGTGTTGTCAACCTTTCTGCTGGAGTAAAATATGCTGGCTTGAACACTAGAATGTTTTAATATAAGTTAATTTATGGATGTACATCATTTGAATTCCAATTATATATATATGTGATAACTCTCAGCCAAATATATGAGCTAAATTAACCAAAAAGTATTGCATAATAGGTAATATATGGAAGTTTCATCCGAGCTATTAGATCACAAAATGATAGAAAAGTGAAGTTGGAAGGGGCCTAAAAGGCCATCAAGTCCAACCCCCAGCTCAATGCAGGAATACAATCAAAGGATATCTGCCAGGTGATTATCTACATTTCTCTTGAATGCCTCCAGTGTTGGAGCACTCACCAACTCCCGAGGTAACTGGTTCCACTGTTGTACTGCTCTAAAGGATCTTTCAGCAATCATTCACACATGTTGTTTACTCCTTGGTACTGCATCCACCTGGTGATGCTTATGCATGTGAGAACCAGTTCTTATTTCTATTATAGGAATCATAAACAAGAGTAGGATTTGACAGGGAGAAAGAGTTTTTATTTTAAATCTATCACTTTAGTGTTTCTGTTTATGGCAATTCCTTTCTGAATGTTCAATATAGCATCAAACTGGAGTTACAAATGAATAACCACAGTTATTCACAAGTAGGATTGTGATGAGCACTCAAAAAGAACTGTCATTCTCAGTGATATCTTGACTAATATCAAGATGAGACTCACTGCCTGCACTACCAAGACTTTCCAAATTCCCGAGCAAAAGATACTGCAGTCTTGTTCCCCCACCTTCTCACCCTGGTTTTTGCCAACTGTTCTGCAAAGGAATTTCCATACTCTGCACAACTCAGTGCCATTTCTGGTGAATCCTGTGCAGGAAAGCATGCTCTTCTGTGTAGGAATGATAATAATCTTGTACTTCTTGGAACTTCTTCTGCCCTCTGCAGACGAATCCTGCAGAGGGCATGAAAACATGGCATTCTGCACAGCTTCTGGGAGTGGGGCTCTCATACAGAGTTCTCTTGCACAATGTTTTCCCTCCACCCTCAATATTTTGGGCAAGAAGAGGCTGCAATTTTAACATCTAAATTCATGAGATGGTAGAAGCAGGTTAGCTGACATCCTGGAGTTCAAATACCATAAGAGTCTGTAAATCACTAAGGCAGCTCTCATTGCTGAATGCTTTTCAATGCCCACTTAATACTAATGTTTAAAATGTTAATTGGTAGGACATAGCTCTAAAATGAAAACATAGGATCTTGTATCTACCAAAAAAAATAAGTAAATAAAAATTGAGGGTTTTTTTGCTGATATTGTATGATTTTTGCCTTCTCCCACGCTGATTCCCATCCTACCGTCAACATATCTCCATAATCTTAGATGAAAGTTAACAAAAATATATTTGGTATGTGGCATTTAATGGATTAAGCTGATATTTTTAATCAAATTAAATTCTTCAATTTTTTAATATTTTCAAATTGTCATAGCATTTTATCTGCATCAGTGATGCAACTAAATGATGGCACCTGGAAAAAAAGCACACATATCATTCACTTTAAAGTATAATTTAAAAAAATAATTTCACAAAGGAAGTTTTAAAGAAATACAGCATAAACAATATTTTCTTTCTGTATAACTCATCATAAGTAAAACCAGACCACTAAACAATCATATCCTGTTTGGACCATAATGACATCAGAAATACATGTTTATCATCTTTTGGACAACTTAGCATGTTTTTTGGCCCTGGGCAATGTAGAACTGAAACCATTTACAGTTGGCCAGACCAAGATAACCACATATTTCTGAAGTAATTGATACCTAAAAAGAGCATAGCCTTTAGATCCCAGTTCATGATTTAAATACACTAATTTTTTAAAGAAGGTTGTTAAAGATTTTAAAGAGCACACTGGACTTCCTCCAAAACTTAGCATGCATAAACCATACAGTACTAAATGTGGCAAATGTCAGTTTGTGTGTGTGTGCACACGTGCGCGCATGTGCATGCACACACGTTTTTAAAGGTTTCTGATATTTTTAAAGAACTGAGGACATTTTAATCAGCTTACAACAAAAATATACTTTCCTGATAAATCAGTTTTGAGAAAGCAGCATTTCTTTTTCTCATTTTCTAGTTCATTTTAATTTTACATTTGTTAATTATTCAAAAACAGGTTTGTTTTAGTACACCTTCCTTTCTGAAGCTTGCACACCATACAGTGCAAATAACTTATCCCCCTAACATTAATATTAACATAGTTCATCACTATATCTTCATCAATACAAACATGGATTTGAACTGAGCTTGCAAACTGAACTAAGAAGAGACCTAATTTATGCATCCTTAGTTTGCACTAATAGAGAACACCATGTATTAGAGAAAACTAGAAAATGAGAGTTTGGGTTAATATATAGAAAATTAATTGAAAGGTATGATCTTCAATAGTATTCAGGGCAGATTCCTTCCTTCCTTCCTTCCTTCCTTCCTTCCTTTGTCATTATTTCCACCTTGACTTCATACTTCCTTCCTTCCTATGTACTTTCTGCCCTTCCGTCCATTTTCAGCTCCTTCCTTCCTTCTCTTCATAAGCAAAGTGTGCTGCTTATATACCATCCCATAGTGCTTAAAGCACTCTCTGAGTAGTTTGCAAGTTGTGCAGTTTACACACTGCTCCCCCAGCAAGATGGGTACTTATTCAACTGATCTCAGAAGGATGGAAGGCTGAGTAAACCTTGAGCTGGCTACCTGGAATTGAATCTTGGGTAATGAGCACAGTTTTGGCTGCCATACAGCAGTTCCTGGCCAACAGCCACAGATTAATCATTAGCCAAAACTTATTCTGCAGAACTCTATGCACTTAAGCTTTCCATGGAATCTGGGGCCCTAACTGTGCAAGCCATTACTCTGCACTGAAAACCTACAATAGTTTCTAAGTCTTCCTAGAATGGAACATATGTAGCATGGATGAAAAGATCTACTTTTTGTATCACACAATAATCATCATACAAAAGTCCAACCTACTGTTTTTAGGGAGACAAACTTCAGAATCAGAAAATTCTGAAAAGGGTTAAAGTGTCCCCTTTGTGTCAATAAAAATGAACAAAGATATATGTATTGGGATACTTGAAGTCACATAAGAAAAGAATGGCGAGGAAAGGTTATGCTATGAAGATCTTAATTAGCATTTCTAAAAGCAGAGAGCAAAAAATTAGCCTAGAGGACAGGAAAGCTATAGAAATTAAGATTAAATGTATGCCTTGCTTGCTAGAAGGTTTTATTTTGCAGATATGGCTAGTCAGCCTCACCTGATAAGAAATACAGCAGATCTACATTTTCAACTTTAGAAATGTTTTTCTCATATCCTAAGATAAAATGTAATATGGAAACATATTCCACATTCTCTAAAATGCTGGTCAAAAGGTAACAAAACAACTTCATTTTGTTGGTGAGACTCCCAGCAGTTGCTTTGCTGTTTGGCAATCTGCGGTCGACTGCGTTGTGGATACATGTGCACTGTGCCTCTATAGGTTCTGACAAGCTTCTTGTGGATCTAAACGGCTGCTTTTAATAACTGGTAATTACATTAAAGTTTTAAAAATAACAATGTGAAATAAAAATTGCAATATCAGCTAAAGAACTCTGTCTCGTGGTGGAAAGTTTTGTCAGTGCAATTAGGAGAGCGAGAGGCCAAAGTATGGCCTTCAAAGAGGCTGCTGGACTGAAACTCCAGCAATCATAACCATAGGCTACGCTGGCTGAGGCTGCTGAGAGCTGCCATCTAACAAAGAAGGAAGGTCACACTTTTCCCACCCTGCTCAGTGCTATCTCTTGGGCTGGCTAAGGTAGCATTTACACAGATATAGTTATCATGATCACTTATGTGAATTAGCATGACATGCAAACAGGGGCAACAGGGAAGGATGCTGCTGAAGAGGAAGGAAATGGACTTAAATGACCTTCAAATAATTCTTTTCATGCTTTGTTTCAGAAAAAAAGATGTAGAAAGTACCTCCATTCTCTCTTGTTTTACATCATCAATCTCATCATCTTCAAACAGGGCTAAGAGTTCCCCAGTCTGATCAATAGAGATAAGAAAGTCTTGAGCAATTTTCTGACGTTTGTTGGTGCTGCTGCTGAGTTTATCTGAAAGAGATTGAAGAGGAAAAAACTGTGCTATTTTTGTACAATTGCTGAAAAACTAGATAGGCCATAATCCTCTTGCACAGCCACACAAATGGTGCATCGTTTGAGGAAACTCAGTATGTAACAGATAAGGCACAAGTGATTTGTGCTAGGCGAGTGTAACTAGGAAAGAAAATTTGGACCATGGTATTACGTCTCTTGCAGGCGGAAGGGCTCCTCCTGTCCATGGGAGGCTTCCAGTTTAGTGGATAATCATGCTGCAAGTAACTAAGCTATTTTTATTGCCTCCTGTTGCCTTGTTAAGCATTATATGCTTAACAGTTGGGAGTTCCCTCTGAAACACCAGGTCGTGTAACACTGCAGGCTGCAAGACGGGAAGATAGCAAATTTTACACTGTTTCTTAAATATGACTCTCAAAATCTCATTTGCATTGCAGCCGGTAATACCAAAAAGCCCAACAAACGCATAGATAAAAAGAACATCCAGGCACTGATTTAAATGTGACTTTCTAAGACAACTGATTTTAAAGTGACCCTTTATTTATCAAATAAACATTCAATTCCCTTGACTGTACGTCCACTTAAAATGTGATATTGTCTAGTAAGCCATGTAAGAATACAAGAATTTTAAAACCTGCACAGTGATATTAACACAGTTGATGGCTATGCCACATATGACTAGAGATGGAAAAGTTTGTAGAAAAAGGTTAACATTTTAGTTAATTGCTAGTGAGTTCTGAAATCCAATTTAAGGTAAAGGTAAAGGTTCCCTTTGACAATTTAGTCCGTCGTGTCCGACTCTAAGGGGCGGTGCTCATCCCCGTTTCCAAGCCGTAGAGCCAGCGTTTGTCCGAAGACAGTTTCCGTTGTCACATGGCCAGCGCGACTTAGATTCGCAATGCTGTTTACCTTCTCACCGAGATGGTACCTATTTATCCACTCGCATTTACATGCTTTCGAACTGCTAGGTTGGCGAGGAGCTGGGACAAAGCGACGGGAGCTCATTCCATCGCGTGGATTCGATCTTACGACTGCTGGTCTTCTGACCCTGCAGCACACAAAGGCTTCTGTGGTTTAGCCCGCAGCACCACCACGTCCAATTTAGCTAATATTAAATTGGAGAGAGGAATTTTAAACAACAGAGGCCCTGGTCACATGAGGGAAATGTTCTTTAGTTATCCCCCAGCCTAGTTCACAGGTTTTTTTTTCCTGATCACACGATGCGCAGTCAACTTCGAAACATTTTTCTTGCCAGTGAAGCATTTCCCCTTCACCGTATGGGTTGTGTTATTTTGTACCTCTGTTGTACCGGTGCATTCCTTACCAGGATTGCCTGTGTGCATGACCAGCCCAGCTTCTTTTTAGAATTGAAGCCAGGAAGGTGTCTGCCATTATTGTGATGCATGTATTGATTTTTTTTTTATTTTTATTTTTGCAGTCAGGGCATTGAAATGTTGGTAAAAGGATCTCATAAGGGGGCACCGCCCTTTACATTACTGGTAAGTAATACCTTTTTAAAAAATTCTGCGGAAGATACATCGAACCATTGGTATGCCAATGTCACTGGGGTGTGTGGGATTGCCAGTATGGACAGATATTTTTTCCAATGCCTGTGCATAGCTGCCTGTTTGTACATATGTCTAGGTAGCAGCTGCCCCCCTTTCTGCCAAGTGTGTTTCTTTTTTTTTAAATGGCATTTATTTATTCCTTCCTCCCTTACAGTGCTTCAACAACCACTCAAACTTTATGGGCCCATCCAGTGCTCCCCTCCCTTAAAACAAAATAGCAAGCAGCAAGGGTAAGTGATCTACTACAGATGTCAGGAGATTGTGCTACAGGCTTGTATTTACTAGGGGTCAGGCCAAAAGACTGAATATTTTACAATTTGCTCACAAAAGGGTAAAGGATAAGTTTTATCAGCATACAATGGCTACATAAAATTTAAAACACCTCTTAGCCACTGATTCAAATTAACTAATTTTAGATTATGACTACTGTCTAGAATCTACTCAATTCACTGATATTAGATTATTAAATAGGCCAGTCAAATGAATTTTGGGCTTACACACTTTTCTCCACTTCCACCATTTGGAGACCGCCATGTCAAAATTACAGATGCTTAAGTCAAATATATCTTTCAGTTAGCACCAATTCCAAAGTTCAACAAAGTTCTTGACATGAAAGAATTTTCTTTAGTTATCATTTGGCTGAGAGATCAATTTATTGTACTTTTATAAGTAACTGAAATGGAAAAGTATACAGTTAAATTGAATTCCCAATTAAGTAAATATTTTTGGATGTCTACACTATTTACATGAGAAGTATTTTCCATTTGATACATAAAATGAATATGTTGAATATTCACCCAGAAGTTTTCCTACCTTCAAGAAGATCATCCTCTTCAATGCCTTTGACAATTTTAGATTTGTAGTCACGGAAAAACATGTATTTCAGCAGCCTTCTAAGCTTTTTCTAAGAAGAAAATGAAAACAGGTCAGGCACTAATTACATTTTAATACATACAGTATCTGCCAAAGTAAGACAAACAAGTGACTAATTCTATGAATGCTGCAAAATTAGAATGCAAAATTAGGTTTAAAGCAAATGACAGTAGTTTATGGGATGTTCAAAGGCATTCAAATTTAATAAAAGTTCAGATATATTTGTTTGTAGACATACGAATCAACAGAAATTTATAATGAACATAAAATCAGATCTGTTTGTACAACCACTTTTTAATTCTACCTTTCCTTATATAGTCTGTACTGTGTTTACATAGAGCCAACTTTGCTGGACACACAAGCAGAAAATACTGAGTAAGCCAATCAGTGAGCACAGTCAAGACCTCTAATGGCAGTCCTTTGGTTTCTTCAACATCCCCACCCCCAAGATGTGGACAAGGCACAAAGAGAATGACATGTTTTTAAAAATTAAGTCAATTTTATTCCTTCCCAAAAACTGAATAACGTCTTGCATTTATCTTATCTTTAGACAACCTAAAGAATATTTAGTGCTGATTCAATTTACTATGTGTTTTTAAAGAAGCTAATTGTCTGTGCAAATTACACTTTGGATGAAATCTTGTCACTTAGCATAGTAAGTCACAAGTTAGAGTAGGCCCATGTGAATCAATCCTTCCCTTAGCATAGTAAGTCACAACTTAGAGTAGGCCCATGTGAATCAATCCTTCCTACTCAATTTATATGATCTCAATTATAAAAAAAACACCTCCCTGTGAAGTATTTTAAAATCATTACACTTTAATGTGCTTCCACCAAGTAGCAGGTTCACCCTTGAGGGTAGTTTTGCTCCAGTTTTCATTACCTTGCACTTGCCTGGAACTGCCAGGCATTTATCCATCATATTTTAAATTATACTGGCTTCCATGTTTGCCTGAATGCAAAATACTGCAAACATTTTAGCTACGTGGTTCAGGAATGAGGTGGGCCATTCAGGTAAAGCCTGTTCTGTATCATTAAAGAACATTTGAATTACTTAGGATCTTTAAACACGGTGAAGTAAAGAACCTGAGATACCCAGAAAATTGCAAACACTGTGCAAACTTGAATGGGTGAGCTGACCTACAAAGGTCCATTTATGTATGCTTGATTCCCCTTCCCCTTTCTGCAAAGAAAGTTTAATTCCACTCAGGTTCAAGGTAAAGAATTCAATTTAAACCTTAAGCCTTTGTACTTTCTGAAATAAATATGTGATGAAAAATAACGAAGCAAAGCACAGAAAACAAAGGTGAAGAACTAGTTATAATAAAACAATTCTAATCATAAATAGTTTGTTTTGAAGGTAGGCATGCCTATTAACTCTACTTTTGCACCAACAAATAATTTTAATCCTTGTACCTTATCCTTACGCATCAAAAAGATAAGATCTTCTGCGGAGATGACTCTGGCTCCTCTCATCTGAGAGACCTCAGAGGCTTGCTGCAACTGGAAGGAAGCAAAGGGGCAAGTTGAGAGGGGATGATGGCAGTGCTGCCTTTTGTATGACTGGGCTCTAGCCACAGACCACAGACCCACTGGGCCATAAAAATTCCAGGCTGAAGGCAGACGTTTAGGAGATAAAACACAAGTAAAATTAAAACCTGAACACAGGCTAACTAGTTGTGCATTTTCTATCAACAGTGCCTACTGCAAAAGCATTTTACCTTTGGCCTTTTTTCCCCTAGGGGGGAAAAAGTGTGATTTTAGCAAGATTGTGTACCATGTGAATTTTCCTTTAGAATCAAAGAGAACAACCTACAATTCTTGCCAAGGGAGAAACTTTTCTAATTTCACCAAAAACAGCACTGCAATTCAAGGCTTATAAGTCTGGTATCTCCTCCTGGAAGCTTGATCAGGGTTGCTTAAAATGGAGGATGAAGAAAGTTACTATTATTAACTCAGTGAGGATTTTCTCTGTTTTTAAAAATATTGTAATAAGGTTGTACTCTTATGGTTTCAACTAACACACTATCTCCTTGGTTTTTTTTTTTTTTTTTTACGACGGGCTTGTAAGCTTCAGTGTGTATTCATTTTTCTGAATACAGTGGTGCCTCAACTTGCAAACATCTCGAAATACAACCATTTCGAATTAGGACCAGCTCCAGCCGCAAAATTTTTGCTTCGACTTACGACCGGAGCTTCGAGTTACAACCCAAAAAAGGCAGGGAGAAAAGGAAGGGAATTCAAATTGCTAACCGTTGGTGGTGAAGAGGCTGCTTCTTTGCAGCTCTTTCGCCCTAGCGGTTAGAGTGAATGCAATCGGAGGAGGCTTCGGCCTGCCTGGTAAGGTAAGGTGCTGCTGCTTTTTAAAAACTGGTTGTTCTGGGTGGGTTTTGCAGCGTGGTTGTGGGCTGGGTGGTGAGATTATGTTTCTATGCCTTAATTTTGTGGTTTCTTTTTTTTAGTGGAATTGTATTAGATCTGATCTGTTGTTACCCGCCTAGAGTAGTCAGTACGACTAGATGGGTGGGCTATAAATGTAACAAATAAATAAATAAATCTTGCAGGGTTTGTTTGTTTTTTGGTCCCCCCCCCCTTTCTGATGGGTCTTGCAGGATTTTTGTTTTATTTTGTTTCCCCATTTCCAATGAGATTTGCAGGGTTTGTTTGCCTTCTGCTTTGCTTTTTTTGCATTTCCGAAGGATCCTGCATGGTTTGTTTGCTTTTCTTTTCTTTTTCCCTTCAGCCAGAATGGATTAATCGCATTTCCGATGGGCCTTGCATTGTTTTGTGTTAGGGTTTGGTGGGGTTTTTTTGGTGATTTTTTTCCTTCGGCCAGAACAGATTAATTGCAATCAATGCATTCCTGTGGGAAATAGTGCTTCGACTTTACGACCATTTCAAGTTATGACCGGAGTTCCAGAACCGATTAAGTTCGTAAGGGCCTCGACTTACGGGCTTTAGTGCACACTTCAAAAGTGTTCAGGGAATCAGACAGCAACCTATACGGAACAGATGTGGATAAGAAGAATTTAAGGAAGCAGAGTCACAAAGTAGCTTTTATGTTTCTTTCACGTATTCAGGTAGACAATGGGAAGTCCATAAACATAGAAAAGTCTGTGAACACAGGAATAAATCACAACTATAGTATGTGCAGTGATTCAGTGTGTATCTGGTGAATCAACACCTATGCAAGTCCACTTGGTTTAATGGACTTACTGTAGTTGTGACATACTGCTGGACTTTATACACTGTCTCACATGTGGAGGTGAAGTGAAAGATCTGCCCGCCTACCCCACAAGGATGATGCCCCAAATATTAGACTTCTAGAGAACTAAGCTGTATTAGAGTTCATTTTTATACTGATAACATGGTACAACATGTTTTTCCATTAATTTTTTTTCCAAACCTTTCACAAAGGCACCTGAAAATTATCTGAAGAAATTCTAACCGTTATATACTATCCTAGCAGCGATGACTTTAATTTTGGGTGAATTACTATAGTATTAATCTGTGATCTTGTGCTGGTATGACTTCAAATAGGCCTATTCAGGAGTTTAAAAGATTGACAAAAACAGTAACTGTTTTTAATATGTTGGGGAGAGGGAAGGGGGAAGCTTTCACTTTTGGCAAGTTTTCAGCAGGAAAAAGATTCAGTCAATAAATCATAATACGGACTGCATTAATTTTTTTCTCTCAACTCTAATCATGCACATACAAAACGTGAATTGTATCTGGTATGCACAACACAAAACATACTGCAGGAAAAACTTTATATTTTTCCTTTGAAAAGCTCAGGAGGGACTTTCAAGCTACAAAGACAAGGAAACTTTCAGGAATTCAGAAGTAACAGTAACATAATCTCACTTAAAACTGAAGTGGAAAGTAAAAGAATGTGAAAAATGATAGTTCTACTTCTTTGGCACAGGAAAATGGCTTCTTATTCTGATTAGTTTAAGGATATACAAGATACTTGAATTTCCAGCGAAAAAATACAGAAAAGTTGGTTAAAATTATAATGCAAAGAGTAGGATGAATTCCTCACTGGTGTAACTTGGATGAGCCAAGTGGACTTATATCCAAGCATTCAGTGTATCTAATAAGGACTTAGAAAACTGGTATGCTGATAATAGAACACATCTTTCTCAAATTTAATCTAGACTTCCCAGCCCTGTGATCTAAAGAGAAATTGTAATGTAAGTTCTCCTAGACCGAAGGTAACACATTTTTCACATGCTTGGCCACAGCCCAGTAATGAGTTGAATTTACCTATGCCCATAATTTCGGTACCCATCTATGTCTGACTGTATACACAGGGTGCCTACTAACCTTAATAAAATGATAAAAAATTTGGTATGGCCACTTATTTCAATGGGACAAGATAAACTTACAAAATTCGTAAATATTTTACTATATAGTTGTCCCCATATTCTAACTTATAATGCACATACCTCTGCTTTATGCACAGTTAGTTAGATAAATATTACACTACTATACCTGGATAAGTACTACACATCTTAAGCCCCAATTTCAGTGTTCTGCTTGCACTGTAGTGACAGCTTGGTATAACAGGATCTGACAGCTTTGCCCTCCCTCTGCAGCCCACAAAGATACTGAAAGTGGGTTTCAAACAGCTTCCCCTTGCCCTTCCTAACTCTTGGTGAATTTGGGAGGCTGCATTGTGGAGATTATCCCCACCCTCTGAATTAAATTAATTCCAATCACTAGATTACAGTTTCCCACCTGGGGTTACAAACCCCCCGGGGGGGGTGCAAAGTGTTTTCTGGGGTAGTCACCATCTTTTCTCTATGTTAGAAACCATTGCTAGGGCCCAGAGAAGCCTTAGGCCCCAGTCTTATTTGCAGGTCTATGACACATATGCAGGAATCAAAAGCACAACCACCCTGGAGATGGGCACAGGCACAGTTCCATGTGGGAGAAGCCAGACGTAGAGGAATGGATATTGTATTGTAAAGGAAACACCCTGGGCCCTTCGATGAGATAAGCGGGCCAGTGGTGGGAGTGGGCAAACCCCTGGCCCATAAGCCCCTTGGGTAAGGAGGGTCACTCTCCTCAGGAGACTCCTGAAAACCTTGGGCTGAAGAGGAGGGGAATGCTGGATGGGCACATAAAGTTTGAGTAATTGTTGAAGCACTGTAAAGTAAAGCTTGCTGTTTTGCTGGGGTGGCTTGCCCTGGAGGCAGAGGCAGTGAGCGAGAGAGACCACCATGTGTCCACTGTAGCTCTGGCAGAGCGCCCTGGGGTGGCAGAAGGTTGCCTGAGGTGGCAGATGAGGGAGCAGGGCACTGTCCTCCAGACCAAGAGGAGAGCCCACCTCAGGCTTGCCTAGGCACTGAGGCACCCCTTGTTCTAAATGGTTAATATATCTTTAGAAATAAGGGACCTGGTGGCGCTGCAGGTTAAACCGCAGAAGCCTCTATGCTGCAAGGTCGGTAGAGCAGCAGTTGTAAGATCGAATCCACACGACGGAGCGAGCTCCCGTCGCTTGCCCCAGCTCCTGCCAACCTAGCAGTTCGAAAGCATGTAAAAATGCAAGTAGATAAATAGGTACCACCACAGTGGGAAGATAACGGCGTTCCATGTCTAGTTGTGCTGGCCACGTGACCACGGAAACTGTCTACGGACAAACGCTGGCTCTATGGCTTGAAAACGGGGATGAGTACCGCCACCTAGAGTCTGACACGACTGGACTAAATGTCAAGGGGAACCTTTACCTTTATCTTTAGAAATGTTTTTGGTTTGTGTAATTGCGTTGTCTGCCTGAAAGGTACGAGAGCTTGCCTAAAAAGAAAAAAAAGTGGCTGAGAGAGAAATCTTAACTGAGAGCATTGTCACTTTCCATTTTAGTGGGTAGAGAAGAGATAAATCTTCTTTGATCTTCTTTAGCCTAACTTGACTCCAGGACCTTTTTTAAAAACACTCCAGAACATCTTGGAAGGGGGAAATTTCCTCAGCAAATGAGGATTACTCTACTTTAAGGAATCATCCTTGATGATCTAATTACAAAGCACAGAGTTCGTGTGTGTGCATGTGTGTGTGTGTTTTTTCAAGATAGAAAGCATTCAGAGAGGGCAGGTTCTCAAGTAGCAGTTCTGAGTATGCAGCCCTGGATTATCTTTATCATGGATACTGATGTTTTTAGGTATCAGCCTAATGAAATGCAGTAATTAGGAGTAATTAGGAAGATGGATGGTACAGTATAGGATAATAGTGGTGCCAGAGAACCAGGGAAAAGTAGCTCAGTGTTTATCAGAATATCTTAGCCTGCTAGCTGGTGACAAAGAAGCAAATACAAAAGTGGGTGCTTGTTGTAGGATACTACTGTTTTGACCAGGAAAAAAGTATTCAGAATCTTACACAGGCTTCAGAAACAGCTGATGCTGCAGCTAGTTCTGTATAGAATTATTCTATAATAGTGCCTTCTAATCTACTAAAATGCACTCCTAAACAAACAGCACCAGCAAAGTTATTCCCCTCCCTCCCAT